ACAGATCGTTGTCCTTAAAAGGTTGATCGATAGGAATTTTATTCTCGTCTCGGAGTACACTGCGTCCTTGACAGGGCGCCGTAACTGACATGATGTCAGCATTCTTTAGCTTGTTAACTAAGCTGGGTTTCTTGATTAGGGTATTGAGCATAGTGCGTAGGCATGAGAAACTTAATCCATTTGCCTTAACAGAGGGGTTATCTTTATCGAATTGTCGACGAAGTGAGTCGTTTGACTCACATCCGCAGATGATTTCAATGGGAAGCTTCTTAGACTTAAAACTTCCAGATCCCTTTGCGATATAAGTTTCTGTGTGAATGCCATACATCAAAGCTATTACCTTCTTCGGTTTGGACTTACTGAACGATTGTCCAGGCCCTTCCGAAAAGGTGGTTTGTCAGTCTTAGGACTAACAATTGTAACGCGCTTTTGTTTCTTTGGAAACGCGGTGGACATTACTGATTCCTCAAGTTGATGCACAGCACCCTTGAGTTTATCGGGCTCGATGTAGAAGTCCTTGCCAGCGTTGGCCTCATTGTCCTTCAAGATTTGAGGGAATACTTTCTGAAGCCGCTTGAATGCTTTCCTAGCATCGAACGGTTCATTGGTAAAAATGTCAATGAGGTTGTAGGCTTGGCCATTAGCAGGAGGTCCTATGTCGAAGAATCGCGGAATGCCATTTTCACTACAGTCAACTGGTAACTTAACATGATCATTGTAAAGGGTGTCTACCAGTGAGCAAACTATCATCGGACACAGTGACACCATTCTTCTCCATGAACGTCTGATAGCCTCTAAGGTACGTAATGAAATGGTCTGCCCAGTGCTTAGAATCGTATTGGGTGTTGTTGAAGGTATTTATGTGCTCCTCATTATTGGAGGAAGGTACCACATCCATCGTCGTTTTCACTAGGGTGCTAATGGCCCAGAAGGGATTTGGTATGCCATAGTTTGTGACCAGAGATTTAATCTCAGTCCAGCAGGGCAAGTCTTTTGCCGCTGTCTGATTGGAGCCATCGATGTCACAAAACCTCTGTAGCAAACCTGCTAGGCCCTGACACCCCCACTCGAAATCGACTGGTTTAGGCAACCGATTACCCCCATGAAGGAGTTCCAACTTTTTGTCTTTTCTGACAAAGCCTTCAGGAATGGAGCAATACATAGCAGCAAATTCGCTGCACTTAGGATTTCTAGTCGCTAATCGATGATTCGTAACAGCGCGGTTCATCAACAGAGACCAGAACTTACCACGTTTGACAACTACGCCGTATGGACGGATGCCGCCGTCCTTTGTCTCTGTCAAAACAAGGTTGTTGGTCTCGGTAGTGAGAAACCACACACTTCTCGACCGATTGTCGTCAATCTTCTCCTGAGCAGCGTCTCTATCTGAGGGAGTAGCATTGATCCATACAGCCATGGCACGGGCAAACAGCAAACGCTGTGCCTCGTCATTTGGATTAATGAATGAGCCATCCTCTCTGATACACCTGTTGTCAGCGTTGACCACCTTAAGAAGCTGACCCCCACCACCAGATTTAACCCTGTTAGGCATGTAACGCCACTGACGTAAAGC